TTATTTCTTGGGAGCCTAAAATATGAAGAATTGTAAAGAAATTTTGTTTAGATTAATATATTCAAAAAATTATTTATAATTAGATAGAATTTTAATTCATTTATTTTTAATCTTTTTAATAGAGTTAGTAATTAATATCTTCATAAAAAGCTAAAAAAATTATCAAATATATTTAATCTCATAATTCATATCTAATAAAATATATTCAAAAAATAAAATCAAATATAAAATAGAATAGATTACGAACTATAATAATCATAATAATCTAGATCTCAACAATAATTTTTCTTAAGAAAATCATGTATTTTCAATAAATAATACTAATAATAATAATAATCAAATCATATATCTAATTATAATAAAAAACAAACCTTCAAATAATACGACTAGAAATATTCATATAATTAAACTGATAAGGCAAGATAATTCTTTCCCACCAATTCGTCTATTGAACCTTCGTCTGGCATACCTTACTCGCCCTTTAAGCCCTCGCCTGGCATACCCTAATTGTGAGAGCCTAATATAGTTCATAACATTAATATAAATATTCAAATTTTTTTCGATTCCTTCAATTATAATAATAGATACCAGCGCCATCGGCCCCCAGCAACACTACAGTATCTAAGCAAATGTCGACGGAAAAACGACTCATTATAAGGGCCTGCTACTGCATACAGAGACCTACAAAGGTCTTCCATGGAGCAATCTCTTTTTTTGCCATGTTTCAAAACACCACATCATCGAGCACCAGCTTTTTACCCGACTGGTCTGACTCCGAACGGACTCGGAAGGTCTTTCGCGGAGGCTGAAGCCCTTGGCCCAGCGCACCGCACCTTGCTGAGCCAAGAAGGACCAGCGGGCCAACATGGGCTAACCGAACCGATAAAACCACAAGTTGCACGCCTTCTGTCGCGGCAACTGAAGATCTTTCGCAGAGGCTGAATGAAGCCTTCGGCCCAGCGCAACGCAACTTGAACAAGCTCAGCGGGCTGAACAATACTATGAACACAAGCTGCACATCACACCCTCTGTTGTGGCAACTGAAGATCTTTCGCGGAGGCTGAAGCCTTTGGCCAAGCGCACCCCGCAACTTGACAGAGCCAAGAGAGAAGGAGCAGCGGGCTGAGCGAGACAATAAAAAAACAAGCTGCAACACCCTCCGCTGGAGATGTTTCGCGGAGGCTGACGCTTTTGGCACAGTGTGAGACGTGGCCAAGAAAGAGGGGCCAATATGGGCCAATTAACGGGCCAACCGACCCGATGAAACACAACTGCGCACCCTCTGATGTGGCAGCTGAAGATCTTTCGCGGATGCTGAAGCCTTTTTGGCCCAGCGCGCCGCAACTTGACAGAGCTAAGAAAGGAGGGTCAACGTTCCGGGCTAATCGACCCGATGAAACACAAGCTGCACACCCTCCGCTGTGGCCAATGATAACCGGTCATCTTGATCCTCGACCTGTACAGCATGCGTCCATTGAAACTCACATTCCTTAAGCAGTGGATTCGAGGAACTTGGCTTGGGACTAGCAAGGACTACGTGGCAGCGGAGATAAGAGCTGAGGACCTGGATCTCGCACAGACAGCTCATACAGGTTCCCATGTTTTCCAGCCAAAGGCTTGGGGGTACGTGCTCCGGATCAATGTCAGGCAACCTCGGACGCTCGGGCTTTTGCAACTGAAGCATCAGCTTGCCACATCTAATCACCAGCATCCCCACTGTCAGCTCAATCTCTGTGGCACTGACCAGTCTCCAGGCTCCTTCAAGGGAACTCCGATGATTGCCACCGCACTCGGGCAATCGCTGCCAAATTAACGTGCCTCCCGCAGCACGCATCAGATCTGGCTGAGTTGACAGGGTCAGCTTGCGCCCCTCTTCTTGCCAGTGGAAATATCTGCCGAGAACATCAGCATGATCATTGGGGTTGTTGGACATCTCAATGTTGTGGAACACCGCCCCATTCTCAATGTCATAGGTGCCATGGTAAAATGTGTGCGAGTGTGCTGCCGCCAAGGGCTTCGCAGGATCCACTAGCGGGTCACAAAGGTGCACGAAGACATGGCCGTCAGTGTATATGATGTGCCCTTTAGGATTCACTCCATAAGGGTAGGTATGCAGATCGAGCGTTCCCCACCAAAATGTCTCCAGCTCATATGCTCCCGGGCCTGGCCAAGTGGAGCCCTCGTACCCGTCCAGGCAACTCTGCAAAAGGACAACAAACGCAGCAGGAGGTCTGAAGAAAAAGAAATGAGTGCCATCTATTTGATGCATAGTAAAGGCGCTTGTTGTGTAGGTTGACCATGCCGCTACAGTTCTTGAAGAAGGGACCAGGACGTCATCATTCGCATGAATGCCGATGATTGGACAAGCCAGCTTGCGATCGGATCGGGGCATGTACGACTTCACCTGCGTCGGCCGTTGGGCCCTTCAAAATATCCATTAAGACAGAGATTGGAATACAACAGACGTGAAACAATAATAGAGAAGCCAACCGAGCCACTAAACTCAGATCAGCCAGGAGGAGGTCGTCCGTCAGCACGTCCATGTTTGCATCCAATACATGGAAGAAGCAGAGAACATCTCGGACACCTGCAGCATCCTTTACCTCCATGTCAAAGTAGTTGAAGGGTGCCATGTCTTTTTTCCACTCAAACATCGCGGGTGTAGGCGAGCCAGAAACAATAAGGCATCCTGGCATCTCGAAGTGCAGTTCTTGAAGGTGGCTGCAGAGCTCAAAGGCAGCAATGGAACCGAAGGAATGACCAAAGATGACGAAAGGACGGGAGTCGCAAGTTCTCTGGATGTATGAAACGTTTGCATCTAGCTGCGTATCCCAGCATCGCGCGGCACCACCAAGCACGTGCACTTCACAAGTGTCCCCCAACCATCTCGTCCAGGATGCAAAGTAAGACCTGCCAAACTCGAGTTGAAGCAGGGTGCATTTAGTGCAGAACCCTTTGAAGCAAAACGCCCCGTTACGAAACTACGCTTTACACCATTGTTAGTTACACCTCAACGAAGAACCTCGTTTGACTTACCATGCCTTCCAAACCCAAAGGGCGGACAAATGTAGAGGACCTTGCCAGGTTTGGGCTGCAAATTCAGTGGGCTAAGCTGGCATCCCCGGGTGTCTGTGTTTCGCCAGGTTTGACCAGCTCCGGTCCCCGCATGGGCTGGGGCCGGGTTTGGGGACACATGGGGCTCCATGTTGTGGAGTCTGTCCCAGATGCTTTTTGCCAACAGGGCTGGCGAGCCGAAGTCGAAGAAGGTCGTGGCGTCGAAGGAGAGGTCAAAGGCGTCCGAAAGGCGCCGAGCGAAGGCAATGCTGGATAGGGAATCCAGCCCGCATTCTTCCCAGGATGCCTCCATCTCCACGCGGCTACCCACCATGACATCCTGTAAGCAGTCCCTGAACATAGCATTGACTGCATCTCTCCCGCGGCTTCTGCTGGAACTCCGTGGGCCTTCAGAGATCGTCGCTGCATGGGTCGGCTGCCAAGGAAACCGGTTGCGATTGAATGGGGCAGCCTCATTTATCCCATGTTTGCGTGGGTGACCGGGAGTGGATTCGACCGCAGTTGCGGTAGGCTTGTTCCACGGTCCAACAAGACGGTGCGCCCGCAAAGTCCTCAATGGGTTGATTGTAATAACTCGGCTGCAGTGCTGCAGGGGCCCGCAAGCGAGTCTTGATGTTCGTCTGGAACGGCCAGTGCACATGACCCTGCAGCACCCCTCGGCTTTGCTAGTACCCGTGCCACCTCCAAACATGCCCAAGCTTGAGCTCGCAGCAACGCCGCAGTCTGAAATCACGCTTTTCTCATCCACTTGACGAAGGGCATCAGGAGTTGTCAGATGTCTGCTGCACACTGCCGCCACAAAGTTAAGGTTGCATCTTGCAATAGGAGGCACAACCAAGTCCAGCCAACCAGTATGATCCGGTTGCAAACAGCTTCGGAAGAGGCTTGTTGTCATGTGCGTCATAACAAACGTCACGATCCTGTGAAATGGTCGCTGCTGACGTGTTGCTGGTGTTGCCGCACATCGCGCATTCAGCTCCCGCCCAACTCTGACGCCTTCCAGCTGACTTTGCGGCACCTTCATGCCACTGGCAGTAGTTGATCTCGAGTACAAACAAGCAGCCTGGCACGCATCAAGACGAGCGTTAGTGCATGCTCCAGTACTGTCCCACTGCCATGCAACCATGAACACTTTCCGGCCATCAAGAAATCCTACGTCTGTGTCGGACGGGGAAGTCGTCTGCAAGTACACATGCTGTCCGGGGGCATTCGGCAGCACCTGCATGCGACAGTGTCGCGCTGAAAAGCAATACCGTCGTGCCGTGGCTAGCTTCTGCGGCCAACTCCAAACACCAGCTTGGCTACGAACTGCACTCGATCGTAGACTTGTCGCCGCCGCCACAATAGATGTGACGCTTCGACGAACCGGTCGCTGCTGACACGCAGCTGGTCTTCCCATGCGGTGTACATCCAACCCACCCAGCTCCGCCCATTTGTACATCTTGTACTTCACTTTGCAGTACGTGAAGCCCAAGTTGGTAGAAGCAAGCATTCTTGAGTACAAACAGAGATCGTGACATGCATCTATGCGAGCAGCAGGAGGTCGCATTGTTGAGAAGGCAAACCTTGAAGTGACACAACAATAACTATAACTGGTAACAACGGGGATCTTTCCCATTGTTGCTGCTCGCCGGTTCACGCCAGGGCTGCAAAGAAGTATGGAGGGGGAGGCGGCTGGCAAAGGCCGGGCGGCAAGAAAGATTTTGCTGTCCACGACGTGCGGGCTCCGTAAACGCAAAGCCTCAAAGCTAGACCCAGAACCTTGTCGCCATGCAGCCGCGGACACTTTCAATGGTTCCAACAATCCTACATCCATGTCGGACAAGGTCTGGCCCAAATGCACATGCTGTTCGGGGCGTTTCACCGGCATCGGATCGCGACAATACCGCACTGAGAAGCAAAAACGTTGTGCCACCACAACAGATGTGCTGCTTCGGCGAAGAGGTTGCTGCTCACATGGTGCTGGTGTCCCGATGCGGTGCACATCCGACACACCCAGCTCCGCCCGTTTGTACATCTTGTACTTCACTTTGCAGCAGGTGAAGCCGAAGCCCAAGTTGGTAATAGCAAGCACTCTTGAGTACAAACAGAGATCGTGACGTGCAGCTACGCGAGCCGCAGGACGTCGCATTGTTGAGAAGGGATGCATTGAGGCAACGCACGTTCCAGTGTCGTCCGGTAAACGGACTGAACCAGCTGTCTGCATGCTTACTGCGTTCTCCAGACCCATGCGAACCTGGGACTCAGCTGCATCTTGCAGCCGGCACTGTCTCTTGAACTGGAGCCTTGATGCTGAGGCGCAGCTTCTGGTTGGCCACGACCTGTGGACGAGCACGATGGTGTTTCGCCCAGCTCTTGCCACAGACAGCAGCTGGCGGTTGAGGAAGAGAAATGGCAAGTGTGGACACAATGGCGTACATGCAGGGGCAGGTGGAGCTGTAAGCACAAGATGCTGCTCCTCTGAGCGGAGACTTTCCTCAGCTCCCGCGGTTCGGAGCCTGGCAATCCGCCTGGCAGATCCGCAGTGAACAGGTGCAGCTTGCTTGATCCCTAGCCTTACACTTAGAATATGGACCCATGTCACCAGTTGCGTTGCATCTCCAACAACCGGTTGGTGAAGAGGATCGCGCTTGCAAGCCATCTCCGTGGGAAAAGGTTGGTGAAGAGGATCGCCCTTGCAAGCCATCTCCATTAAAAAAGCACTGTGGCCGCAGCAAGTAAGCCTCGTACCTCTTGCGGTTCTACCGCATGAAGCCTGACATGGGAGACATCGACCCAGGTGGGGAAGACAGAGTCCGAGCCGAAATCTGTTCGGTGCATGAACGGATCGTAAAGCAAGGTCGGCGTGAGCATGGTCTGCCGAACGTCAGCGCAAGCCTCTGCTACTGGTAATTGTCCTCATGATCGGACATCGGACATGCCCTTCCCTGAGCTCAGCCATAAATACACTTCCGAACATTTCAGTCGCATAGATAGAGGGCAGTGCCATTTTGCTCGACTGGTCCGAGGTCGTCTCTTCGGTTGCTCCGGCCACTTCTCTGACCTCCGCGCCGCCTCCTGGAGTCGAAACGCGGTCAAGAAAACTTCAACGAGGGCTTTCTCTTTTTAACATTTTTCATAAAAAACCGGGTAAAAACCGTTTTTATTATTAAAACCCTCTTCATTGAGATACGTCTTCAGCAAGTTGTAAGGAGAGAGAAACAAGGAACATGCTGCCTGGGCTTGAGCTCTGCGTGCTCATTAACTGTTTTCGGAAGACTTCCCGGAGGGTCCTCAATCGTTGCTCCGGGTGGTGTCGTAACGATGCCGCCAGCACGAAACAAATAAAAACCCTAAACCCTAAGAAATAAAACCGTTCTGCGCTCTTTCAACCCGGCCCCGGGCCTGACACTGAAGGACTAAACTAAACCCTTTCCAGCACGGACTGAGGTGCCGGCCAGCGCCTACGCAACCCTCACACCCACCTAAGGCAAGGGCGCACGGGAAAAGCTGTGGATGACAACGGACTGAAGCTTGGCTGAAGATCCCCTGAAATTAAACCCTAAACCCTGGGCCTGAATGCAACTTTGAACCAGTGGTCTGCCAGAATGCACAAGTCCTTCTTCCTGGAGGCCGGAAGAACCTTTCGCCGGAAGAAAGGCCTTAGTCGCCGCAAAAAAGGACAGAAAGGGTTACCCGCATGGCCCTTTGTGAGCAATAGGATGTATACATATATGTGTATATACTCGCATACGTGTTTAGCAGACTCTGAAAAAAAAACAAAAACGCCCAAAAACACAAGGATGCAAAATGCGAAAACCCAGGCCCCGTGACAACCTGCTCTCCAGAAAGGTAAGGGCAGTCAGGACAGTTCACACAAACCACAAGATCTGCGGACGAGCAAACGCTGCTGTCATTAACAACTCCTCGGCGATGCCTCGTGCGTTTGTGGATTCTGGTGCAACAGCAGCAACGACGAGCTGAGCCCACGGATTCTGGCGAAGATTTGTTCAGCGGAGGAAAAATAGCACGTGAAGATGCGGGCGTAGCAAGAGCCTTCGGCATCAACTATTCCTGGGATGAGACTTTCTGTTTGCCTCTCCTTGCGCTCTCCCCATGCAGTTCCGGGATGAGTGCATGCTATCTGCTATCAAAACAGCTACTCCGTGCAGCCTCGTCTGTATTGCATGCTCGCAGGCAGATGCGTTCGTCTGAGTCTTCCACCACCGTGCCTTTCGATGAGTAAACTTGCAGAACAAAGACAGGACTATGCAATGCCTGCCTCGTCAAAGGAACTTCTGTACACTGTACCAATCAATGGCGAGAGCAGAAAGCTCCGTTGCTATGCAGCGGAATCAAGACGAGCATGAGTGGCTCACAACTGTAGCAGAAACACGAGGGCTCTGCTTGCTCGGATGGTTGTGGAGTCAACCTTGGTGCTTGTAAAGGGAACGCATGTTACAGACGAAGTCTTCTTTCGTTCAGTAGCATCCCAAGCCCGAAACCAAATGCCGGGAATTGCATGTCGGTTGATTAGACATCCGGACGAGTACTTCTCGGTCGAACTCACGCTATGTGATCGTCAGTGGGGCCCCTTCTCGCGCTTCGCAAGTGCTGAACTGATGCCGAAGCTACGAGCTCGGATCTACTGGGGAGCATCTCATCTTTTCACTAGAGCTCATTGGTACCGCAATTCCTCTTCATTGCAAGTTTGTCAAGCTCCCTTCTGACTACGCACCTGCTTCAGGCTCCCCATTGTGTCACTCCGAAGCCACCTTAAAACCCCAAACTTCACTTCCGAACCCGAGCTCTTCACTCGCCGCGGTCGTAGTGCACCGGCCTGGAGGCGAAACACAAGGCTTCGGCTTCACAGCACACGAGCCCTTCAAGTTGGACGAGGGGGCATCTTCCCTGTCTCCCTCCTCTCCTTCCAGAACCAGACGCAAGCAAAGTTCCGCCAGAAAATCAAGTTCCCAACTGCCTCACTGCCATATATAGTCATATACAGATATGCAACATATGTAGTTGCAGGTACATGCTTGTGTTTCAGCACCCGGAGGCAAATAAATGCTCATGCATGTGCAAGTCCGTGAATGTATGCATGCGTGCACGTCCGTCTGCTCTTTTGCAAGAGCCCTATCTAAGCTTCAGAAGTGATCGTCAATCCAATAGTCCCACCTTCTGCCAAGCGTGAACGAAGGGATGGATGAAGGGAATCTCTGCGGTGAACTGTAGCAAACTATCAAACCCCATTCCCACATGCAATCTCTAAACCCTGAGCTCGAATCCCTTAACCCTGCAAAAGGACCTTCTTCGTCCAAAAATCCGAATACCGAAAATGCCGGAATCTGCGCGAAACGGCTGAGGCTGCTTCGTAGGCTCACGCTGGTTCGGAGAATTTTGCAGCCTAAGTGCGAAACATTGAACAGCGAAAAACCATTGAATTAGCTTCTAAGGGTTGAGCTTTGTTGGGTTTCCGCAGGTCAAACAACTACTGCAAGTCTCTGCGCAGTTGCGTCGGGCGTCTGCACACCTTACACAATGGTCAGGATTAGCTTTGATATAGTTTATCATCGGTGTTTTGCGCATTAGGGGATCGCTCTCCGATTCATAATGATGTCACACACCTAAAGTTCCAAGTGAGGCTCGAAGAGGTTCACGAGGGCAAATGACAAAATGCAAGGATCTCCTGACGAATTCGCAATGAGTCCTTGCCGTAAACGACAAAGTTGCTAGCAGTTCTACACTTCTGGTCTAGTTTGTCTGCGGCTCGGGGGGTGGCGATCCTGAAATCTCAGGCGTAGGCTAGAAGGTCATCTTATCTTCGCTCTTCACGTCATATAACAACTCCAGGTGCGCTGCAGTCGCGCTGGAGACATCCATTGTCTTTCCTGTGGTCTCAAACCCTTACTCAAACCCTGTTCTGTCTCTGCGAGCCGCCATCCAGATCCGTGCCGCTCTCCGCAGGCAAACTCACCTGACCACGGGATGGTTTTGTGTCTGCCGGCTGCTACACTGTGCGAATGATTCCACATTGTCGGGCTTTGAGGGTGCATCCATGGTTTAGAACAGCGCAATCAGACAACTAAAGAGTCGCTAACACAACTGGACCTAGGCGAGGCATCGAGTTCGAATTGCTGTGCAAAGGCTGCACGGCAATCCCCTTTCCATCACCCCTGCTACCCGAGTACGCTTGTTTGACGATTGCATGAACCCCTACGTATGCCAGCAACAGCCCGAAAGGAATTGCTCCGAAACCATGGCTATGTAACCTGCTTTCGACGGCAGCGGCAGGACTCCCGAAGATGTGGAAGCAGTTTTTTGAAGCAGTGGACTTGGTGAAGGCCAGCACATATGACGACTGCGCGCGTGTATGAAACGAAGGACTTGCGACTGTTATGAGCAAAGGTAAGCAAACCACGGGTGGACAAAGATGGTATAACACAGACATGGGGGGGATGACGTCAGCATGCATAGCTAAACCCTTATGAGCACAAACAAGCAAATCCTACGTCGACGTTGGCATGCGTTGGCGCAATGCACTTGCACCCTAACATAGCAAACCTTCCTGGTTGGCGCTGTGAACAATCAGCGCGGCCACGCGCTCCCCCCTCAACCGTAAGCGCCCAAAGTCCAACAACTCCCATCATCCGCATGGCCACATGTGACCGTCCGTCCTGCCTTCGTACTTGGAGCCCAGGCTAAGAGCATATCCACGGCCATGAGGGGCTCCTCGCTCAAAGTGGCCTCGCATGCACTGCTCTCTCTGGCCCGGAATGACTTTTTGCTGATGTTTTGAAACCTCGCCTCTCAATGCTAAGAGCAAGTAGCGGCTCCTGCTGCTGTGGTGCTTGTACAGGGTTCACGATTTTGGGGCTTTCTGGGTCTTGATGCTGCTGCTGCATCTTGCGACTCATTATATGCTCGGGCGCCCTGTTGCTACCAACGACTAGCAGGAGCAGCAGCAGCACCGCCATCGCCAACACCGCCGCCACCACCGAAAACAACATCAACGACTGTGACAATCATTCCTCCGACATAGCTTATGATATCTCATGACTGCCACCGCAAACGATACTCATGCATCAAAGTAGCTGCCCAGCTACAGAAGCAGAGCCTTCATAGAGGCGCCCATCGGGCTCCTTCATGATGCCGTGGCCCTCTGGCGCGATGTTCCATGGCCTTGCAACGCGTCGCACTCGGACTGACAAACCCGGCTTTGTCTCTCACTGTTCGGGCACTTCCAGGCTTGGCTTCGTGTATCTCACCACATCATCTCTTGCAGCATCCAGTATCTGCTGACTATAGTCTCCCCGTCCACACAGACCAGGATAGACCAGGCATCCGGGCGTAGACAGCCGTCCGAGACCTATGACCAGGCTTCGATATTTCAGGACATTCTGGCACTGAACATGTCCAGAAACCATCAACCGAGCCTGTCGAGGCTGCAGTGCTCGCCTCCGATCATTTCGAGAAGGGGGGGCATATAAAGACAGGCTTGTGAAGAGGGTCTCAGTTCACGACGACCGCTGGATGAAGGTGAATCTTGCCTGGGAGCAGAAATCTAATTCCATTCTTCGCTCGGGCAACAACGTAGAGGCCTCTGAACTGGTCTTGACCTTCTATAAGAACTCAAAAAATACCAAAAACTCAGGTGATGGCCTGTGTACTTGCCTCCGTCTGGGTAGAACACCATGTGGGTGCCCGACCTGGCCGAGATCAGCAGCAATAAGAATGATGATAAATGGTGCCAATACCATTGACAAAAAAACAAACTTTTCTAGTAATTCTTGTAATTCGAACAGAGGTGTTGAACCTTATTTCCCGACTATCCTGAAAGCAAGCAATGCTTTTGAGACCTTGCGACTCCTGGTTTATCTTGCATCTTTGCAGCCACAAGCCGGGATTGCTCATCCGGCAGGTCCTCCGCCCAGGGCCCCTCCAACTGAAAGCCCTTGCACGACAGGACCTCGCAGAATGGCGAGACTGCGACACCCTCAGGAGCTCAGCCATGTCCATCGATCGGGAAAAATCTTGTCAGTGGCACGTTTCAGTTATTATTCCAAGAATTTCCAAGACTTTAGGAACAGGATATGGCGACTTCATGCGATTCCCATTTGAGGCGATGGCGGCTTGTCCATGGCGTTTCCCATGGACCTATAGGCAGCTTCTCACATCAGAAAAGGGGCAGTTCTTCCGATCAGACCCATGCTTCTGAGAGCTTGACCCAGTCCCCTTCGTACTCGCCGCCGGCATAGATAGCTGTACCTGCACGATGGCATAGCTGTAGATGCTTGGTGAAACAACAGCCGCTTCACCCTTCCTTGCAGGCCGTGGTTCAGTGCCTGAAGGTCCTACTTTAATTTGCAGCAGGCTCCCCACCAGTGGGAGCCCGACCTTTACGACACTTTCTCCCTGAGACACCCAGCTGACCACATGTTCCTTTATGATTTTCAGATTTCCAAGCAACGTGACCGAGGATGCCCTTGCTAGTCTCATGTAGCATCACCGCATCCTTTAGCCGCTGACGAGGCCTTAGGATGTTATCGGCCATGTTTATGCCAAAAGCTCTGAGTCTGGTGCCTTGTCCATGGCGCTGTCCAGCACGCCTCAGCTCTCTGAAGATCAAGAATCTAGCATCTAACTTCTTGACACACGGGCACGAGATTCTCAGAAAAATGCTTCTTGTATTGATTTTGCACGGACGTAAGACATCATGTACCAGAAACACGTCGAACCACCATGGGATCACGTGCCGGTTCTCAGTTGGTGGCCACTGACCGGCATAAAGACTCTCCGCGCCGAGGAAATCCTTCCCGCTTGAACATATGCAGCAAATCGTGACGACTTGAACACGTCACCTGGCCATCCTTTCTCTACATTGTGTACAAGGCATGCATCCGTAACACATATCCATACAGGAGGTGCAGCCGATAGACTGCATCTCAGTCAACTTCCGGATTCCATGTGCACCCCCAAGCCTGTGCAGTTGAATCTTCCCCACGAACGAGTTGTCCCATGCCATGGCGCTCTCCATCCTTGAGAGCTACGTAGCTGTGCAGCACCGGTGCCTCAAAGAGCTGGGTCTCTGGCTTCAAACGCGCCGGTGTAGGTCTCACCCCGGCAGATGTGCTTTCCCACGCCGTGGAACTTGCCTAGCAGGCGATCTGATGGAGACATCTGAGTCTGATGTCAAGGGCAGCGGGCTTCTGGGTCAACTGCCTTGTCGCCACTCTCCTTCGTACAACGTGCCCTTCTCGTCTACGAAGGTCCCAGCCTTGTGGCATACAGCAACCAGGGAACACTTTGGAACGGTATATCACTGTAGCGAAGGTGGCAGTTGTAGCAGTAGTTATAGTAACCGTAGCTAGTATATAACCGTAGTAGTAGCTAGTAGTAGTAGTAGTAGTAGTAGTAGTAGTGGTAGTAGTAGTGGTAGTAGTAGTCGTCGTAGTAGTACTCGTAGTCGTAGTCGTAGTCGTAGTCGTAGTCGTAGTAGTAGTAGTAGTAGTAGGAGGAGGAGGAGGAGTAGAAGTAGGAGTAGGAGTAGGAGTAGGAGTAGGAGTAGGAGTAGTAGTAGTAGTAGTAGTAGTAGTAGTCATTGTAGCAGCAGCAGCACCCCAGTGGGAAAAGTAATAGCAGCACTGGCAGAAGTACTGCGGGATGCTATCAGCGCAGATCATGAGATAAATGGCGGAAAACCAGTCTGACATCCCCGGCTCCATGGTAGAAGTTTTGCGACCATTGGCCGGAATACTTCTCCTGGTCGGTTTCAATTCTGGCGCTGATGGGAGGTTTCGGATATGGGCGCTTTTGACGTAACAAGCACCGCAGATCTTTCGCGGGATCACGTTATCAAGCACTCTGTCACAGGACACTAGGTTTCAGAAAGCGACAGGCTGGTTACAGCCCCTTCCAGGAACATCCTACACTTTAATTAATTAACCCGAGTTACTGAAACGAAACCTGAATGGCATACTGCAAAATCTGTAGTGGTCCTTGTGGTTGCGGACACAGCTTCCCGAACCGTGCCGTTTGTCCTTTGGCGTTGCGCTCAACAACATTGGCTTCCCACTCATGGCGCTGAGTCTCTGAACTTCGACGGCGGTGATCGATAAAAACCCGTCAGTTGCAGAGAAGACTCTGCCACCCACTGTCCATCGTAGGTATACAAAACCTGTGGTCCAGGGTCGGCTAAACAGCTGCAAGACACTCTGTATCGGCTCTGGTATACTGCGTGAGTCCGGGTGGCTGCTCCCTGCCTTGCCAGCACTCTCAATCGTCAGCGTTCCAGTGCCGTGACGACGATCCCGCAACCATTGGCCGTCGTACTGCATGTGACTCCTGACTCGAAGCGATGACAGCTGCTTGAACCATAAGCCGACCGAGCTGAAGGCCTCTTGCTGGTGTACACGCCAGCACCTTCCCGCATACCGCGGCGAAACTGACCGTGGTACTCGTCACCATTTGCAAATTTGTACCTGTGCAAAGGGCTGGCATGGCATCGGCTGAAGTGTTGGTGGACAAACAGCTCATGGCGCACATACCGTGGCCTTCGCGCGGCGGCTTTGGCCGACGCTCCGGCACAGGCAGCTTGTGTGCCTTCAGCAACGACATCAACAGTACCACTGCAAGTCTCTCGTCAAGAAATGTGAAGAACTTGCACTAGTCACTGGCCTGCAACCACGTCCGTCCTCCGTGGGTCCGCCTTAGCTGCCAACTCCATCTGAGATCATACTCAACTGGTGATGGATCACCACTTAGGCATGTGCCACAAGGTACGGCTAAGGCCACAGCGAGACCCATCTTTGTAAAAACGGAAGGCCGAATCGACTCAACTCGGTCTTCTGTTGCTTGGAGGCTACCTCCAACCGTGCTTATGCACCAGTAAGCCGAAACAAAAAGCTGGGCCCATCGGGCACGGTGCCCTGAACACCTGAACCTGAAAACGTTGTCGTGCCGGTTTGCGCCGATTTAGATAAGCGGCTCCGGAACTTTCCACACAAACCATGCGAAGAGCGGGCTCAACTATGGCTCAAAGTAAAGTGTCTTGAGCCTTCGCATCTGTGCCATGTCTATCCCTGAATGTTGAGGTTTGGCTGTTCAAGGCCTCGGGCCCGAACTTCCTGGCCGAAAAGTATAAGCACCGTCTCATAGGCCTCCCCTGCTTGCAGGGCGCATCCAACTCCTGCGGAGTTAAACCAGGATGCAAGCATTACCAGGGGTAACAGTTACCATGCATGGTGCCCAGAGCACCTTCCTGGTTGGTTTGCTCCCCAGCAGGCGCTTTAGCCCATCGCCCCGCTGTCATTC